ACAAAACTGCCTATTTTTTTTAAGCATCATACTACTGGAAAGAGTCCCATGTTTCCAAAAATAAGCCTCCATATGAAAAAGTTGAGGTGACAGCAGGAAGAATATAAAGCTACATGTGAGAAGTTCTTAGAACTTAAGAATAATTTGATTCTATGGCAAGTTTATCTTTGTTTTCAGATTGGCGCCAGCTCCTAAAAAATGTTGTGATGCTCTTCCAATGCCTCTGGGTACTCTTCTTAAAGTTCATGGGCTTCTGCCAGTGTTTAAGTGTGGTAACAGTGCTCATATTCTCATGGCAACAATGAGATTATTTCAGATAATGCTTTCATAGGTTTGTAGCTAGCAGCAGTTTTCACCAAGATATCTAACTTCTTCACCAAGCAGAAGTTTCTGTTAGATTCTTGTGGAAGATCTGAAGTTAAGAGATCCATGAAGTCATTAAAAAAAAAGACATTACAGATACCGTAATTTGCCACACATTTTAGGCTTAATGAACAGAAGTCTATTCCTGCAAAATAAGTTGAATAGAAAAGGCAATTGCTACTGCCTTGTTTTCGAGTGACCTTCTGCATCATTAGGTTTAATCTCCACCCTTCCCTTCCAATGTAGGTCAAAAAGCGTTCAACTAGACAGAGACACGGCACAATCTTGTTGCACAAAGGGTACCCAGATCATTTAAATAAACCTCCAGAACCAGACAGGGTTGTACTGAATGAGGTAGCTCAAAAGGACCTTGACAGTATTCATATTCAAAGAAGTGTAAGAGTTCATTTCATCCAAAATCTGCCTTAAATCAATCTCCAGGTCAGATTTGAACCATTCCACATTACATAGCAATTCCTCACTAGCTGAGTTCATATGACACATGGAATGACACACTGGCCAATTATCTTATAGTCTAGGGTGGTGAACTCCAAACCACATGGTTAGTTTATGGCTCAGTATCGAGAAAACTGGATTCAGTAAATATGGTTAAATTAACCATGAATAGGGATGCTGCGCAATGACATCTACAGAAATTAATTTACATCTTGCCCCTATTGTGTTTAAGTGGGAAGAGTAGACATACCCATCATCTTGGATGTGATGACTTGTACATATATCCAGGGGAATATCACAACCTCAAGATATAATAGGTTGGGAAAGAAATCATCTCATTAATAAACAGTGATTTACTGAAGCCTAATTGTTATGAGGTTGTCAATTGTTAATAAATAAGACTTCTTCCATTCAAAATAGCAATATACATATTAACAAAACCATCATGTTTTGCTATATTAACATCACGGTACAATCTATTGTTCAGTTTTGCCTTTTGCAAGCTCCATAGAATCTGTTGAAATGGTCTTTTGAAGATCAAAACTTTGAATTTATAGACTCTTATGTGGCAAACCTGTATAAGAAAAGCCAAAAATTCTCAAGAACAAAACTTAGCATCATGCCACTAGCATTTTCTCTACTCAAGAAGAATCCCAACAGATATAATATAACCTATCCAATAAAGCAATTTCTTTGGAATGGGGAACATATTTATGGCAAAAGAGGAAAAAAAGTACGATCCTATATTCATATATTCGGATCAAATTAAAGTTACTATATTTCTGGATTGCACAGTAATTGCAATTCTTTTGCCTAGGTGAAAATCAAATTGAAGATGTGAAAAACAACATATTTTAGATGTGTCTTATATTTTCTGTGGTTTTATATAAATCTGTCAGCAATAACTGCAATAGATAAATTTCGTAACAATAAAATCAGGAAATGTGTATAAACACTGAAATACATTTTAAATGCCTCTTTTTACTTTTCAGGTCCATAATGTGGATGCTAATGGGGAAAAGATTTTAGTTATGTGTTGACACCGCTGCAAAGACTTCCTCTATTTGGCTGCTCATCCTCTTTTGTTTGAAGAAAAGAAAACTCAGAGGAAAATCTTAGGATTTGTGTAGGTAAATAAGGGAATAGAGATGTTTCCAAGAAATCTGGGTCCTAGTTATTTAGGATTTTGAAAATTAAACTTCACACTCTGAATTGGGCCTGCAAAAGGTTAGTAGTCATTGCAGGGAGTAAGATATTATATAATGTGATTCACAGCAGAGAGAAGTATCCCCCAAGAAGTTTCCTTTGTCAATCTCAAACCTGGAAAGTGAAGAGAGATAAAAACAATGTTATATCTCCAATTCTAGAATCCCACATAGTTCAGGGCACTGCCGTTTTAAATTAATCTCCCCCAATGCAATTTTTATTAAAGCCTATTCCAGGAAAGTAAAAATAAGACAATAGCTTTAGTGAAGGGTAGAAAGGCTTCCTTTCACAGAATCCAAAGCTGAATAAATCCCCTTGGTGCACATAGGGAGAATAAAATGTCCAACCAGCATGATCAGACCATCTAGGTACCCCAACTCAAACTGAACACAACTTGGAACTAGCATTAGATATATGCAAGTACAAAACTGTAATTGTTTTCCAAAAAACGTATACTTCAACAACGTCTAAAAGTAAATGCAGAAAAACTACATCATACTCTCAATTTCCTCTAATTCCCAGTTGTCACCGGCCTTTGATTGAGCCTTGAGCAGAGTGGTGGGATTCAAATATGTGAACAGCTGGGTCTCTCTGTGGATGCCGCTTCCGGAAGTCCGTTCTGGGCCTGGGCAACAAAAAATTATCTACTGGTTCTGCTGAACTGGTGCAAACCAGCTGAATCTCATCACCAGCCTTGAGTGAATTTTTGCCTACAAAATAGGAGTTGCTTTCTATCCGTGACTTCCTTAGACCATTTGCTAGAAAGCCTTAAAGAAAACCTCCCCTGTTTCTGTAAGTCAGTGTTTCTCCACCTTGGCAACCTTAAGACATGTGGATTTCAACTCCAAAAATTCCCTAGCCAGCATGTAAGCAATTGCTGTAAGCAATGCTTCCAGAGAAGCATTAAGATCACTTTAAAAGAAAATATGTTCCACCCATTCACCACCCATAGATGTTTTTATCTCCTCTGTGAATTAAATGATCCACAAACTTTGTGAGGCATGATCACAAAGTATCCCTTTTTCTGTAATGTCAGAATATACTGGAGATTCTTAAAAGTGGTAGCACAAATAGTATTTAGCTTTAAGAACATTTTTACCTGTTTTTTTTCTTAAAGTACATCCTAGTACTTTAAGAAGATGGTACAGTAAGCGAGGTTTGACAACATTTTTAAAGCTAGCTTAAGTGGCCTCAGCTGCCTTTAGTTTCAGACTTATAGCATTAAAGAAAATTCTCAAGCAGTTTGGCCCTGTTAAACCACTAAGACCAAATCAATGCAGTTACATGGCTAATTTGACTTGCAAAATTAAGACTGACCTGCAAGAAATTCAGGAAAATTGGATCATACTCTGTCAAAATGATTGCTGACAGGAACATTAATTTTGGGGCTAAAAGCCGGATGAATCATTTTGGTAAGTGCTGTAGTATATTTCTTTCCTTATGCACCATTATGCCACTGAAAACCAGCCCCTCCCAACCACAGCTGTTAGCTGTTTTAAACAAATACAAACCCTTAACCTGCTTAAAACATCTGGTTTATTTTAGAACCTTTGTTTTTTGCAATCTGAAAGACAGAGCTACCCTATATGAGCTACAACACTCTATATAACCACTAGCTGGCAGCAAAGAGAGAAGATTTATTATATCTATCTGCTGCCATTTGTTGGTTATCTAGGTTTTTGTAGCCCAGATAAATTGGCCTAGAACTTTCCAATGATATGACACATTCCTGAAGCTTCTTGGACTCACACCTATCTTTCATAGCATGGAAAAACATCAAGAAAGGCTGATCCTGCATACACAGATCTTATTCATTAGAATTTATATATTGTATACGAAATATGTATATCCAAAACATTCAACTTTACAAAACTGAAAGAACAGATCAGACTACCACATATGTGTATTTGAAAAGGCCAGGATGGGAAGAATCAAGACCCTGTACCTACTAACCTATGTTAAAAAATCTCCTTATCCATCCTATGAACAAAACATGAAAGATGCATCTGCTTGCATCATCTGAAAAAAAATTGTGCAAACCAATTATTTTCAACCTAATTCTCATTTTATTCATTGCTTGCTTACAGTTTGAATTGCCAAAGATGTGCCCAAGTCATATTTTACTGAGAAATCCCATTGGAGTCAATATGGCTTATCCTACTGGTAGTAGCAGTAGTTACCTCTAAAGGACAGTTACCTTTAGAGTAAAGCCCATTAAGACAGATTTTGTAATCTTCAGAAAATTACGCTATAGGCACAGAATTATCCTATAGCAGAGACAGATAGATGCTTATCTACAGGGGAAAGTTCCATTTCATTCAAAACTGGATTTACTCTCAATAGATATGCATCAAATTGAAACCCAATTATCCTTATTGCACTACAGAGTCTTTAAAAACAGTTATTAGGCAATGCACCCTGCTTTACGTCTGTAATTAAATACCGCAAAATAAACATGCCTTGCACAGTTTATGTCTAGAGAGCAACTCTGTCAAACAATGCAAGTGAAAGATTAAAATGAAGATTAGAATGAAGCACATCTGGGGGAGAAAAATTATCATGACATTTCTGGCGAGCGATCTCTCCGAATATTTAACCATCCACACGATTCCCCTGTCTCTCGGATTCCCCTTCCCTGTCTCTTTCTTACACGAGCTTTACTTTAGAAACTTTCCCAAACTTTTAAGGCGCTCCCGATACGATAACTTGCTCAAAAGGCATTCGCCTGCCTACCCGGCCAACTCAGAGGCTACAAAAGCGTACCGCGTCCTTGTCATATTTTTTTAAAGGCAGCCACCTTTCGCAATACACACCTAAGCCCATTTGCACAAAACCTGACCACGTGACGCCCCATCCGCCGTCCGTGTGTATCTTTTAATAAGTCTGAGCGGCTACGGCAATTCAATTGGCCCAAAACTTCCTCGCATGTAGCAAGAGGGGTAAACGAAGCGGCGGAGGGCCTGTGGATACTGTGTGCTGATTGGACAGCACCGTCTGAGTGGAGTTGTAAGGCGAAAGGGGATTGGTGGAGGCGCGGCCGCATGTGTTTGGCTCCCCGTCTTTGTATATACAGACTCGCTTGCCGAGCTCTTTAACAATGGGCGAAAGGGGCTGCTCCACCGGACGGGGCTGGTAGCGCCAAAGGTCCCGGGGGACGCCGCGGCTGCTTTTAACCGACATGTCCGGGGAGATGCTGGAGGTGCTTCTCCCTTCCTGGCCGCTGTAGAGCAGAAGCGGAGCTGCGAACTTCGGTAATCTCGACGACGGCCGGCACGGCGTTGGGAGAAGAGGGAGAAGCGTCCGTCCGGGGCAGCCCAGGCGGGGGAAGCGGGTCTTTCCCTTTGTTGTGGCGGCGTCGCTCTGTCCGGCGCTCCCACCTCCAGCTGGAGAAGTTGGAAGTTGTTGCGGGACAGACGGAGGGCGGCGCGGCTTCGCTTGGCTGTCGCGGCTGCGTTCCTTGGGCGAGTCGGTCTGGGTACCCTTGTCAAGAGTCGCCCCCTCCTCGCCAGTGGCCCGGCTGCCCCACTTGGGAAGATCCCTTGGACTCTGAATCAGCCGGTCTCCTGCTGTCCCCGGTGATCGGGGCCGCGTTCCCGGCCTGCGCCCCCGGCCGGTCTGCTTCCCGCTGCCGCCTCTTGGAGCTGAGAGGAGTGGAATCAGCTGGGCACCCCCCCCCCCGGCTGGCCTCCTCCCGCCTTCCCTCGAGGGGGGAAGGTCTGGGACTCCGGCCGGGTCGGGCGGAGTTCCTGCTGGCGGCTAACTGCGGGGCGCCCGTCCCGGCCGCTTGCCTGGGAGTTGGGGAAGCAGCATTCAGCGGGCGATGAGCTGCTGTTCAGAACCGGCGCGGCTTCACTTTTTTTCCCCCCCGCAGGCTCCTCCGCTCTGATCCCTGGCCGCCTCATTCCCACCCCATGGAGCTGGAGGGGCAGTGGTGGAAAGGACAGCTGGCTGCCGACATCCACCAAGCTCTTCGGTATAAGGTAAGTCGGCCGGATCGCCCTGCGCCCTCGCTTCGACGTCCGACCCCGATCCTTGGAGTTCGCGGCCGGGCGGAAGAGGCAGATCGGGCGCCCGGGCTCAAGTTTTGCCTTAGGGATGCGCTCGCTGCCTTCCCACTCCGAAGCCAAGAAGGTTTGGGTCTGTGGTCTTGATCAGCTGTGGAAAGAAAGGCCTGCTCTCTGGCCTTTCTAGCCTTCCCTCTTGAAGTTCTTCTGTTCCCCCTCTCTTCTGAGTTATATAATTAGTCTTTGCACTCACAGTTGGGGGAACTGAGGCAGAAGCTCTAGATTCCAGTCATTATTCTTCCTGTACTACTTGCTTCTGGAGCTTCTTTCAGGCCCTGGAAGTGATGCTACTGAAACTTCCTAGGACTTCGGGGCATTGTGATTGCTTGTGGGTTTCAGTCAGGAGAAAACTGGCTGTGATCCTGTAGCATTTGTAGGATCTGGCTAGACAATGCCCTGAAGCTAATAGATCTTCTCAGTCAGCAGCCAAACCTACTGATTTTCAACCACAGGAGATATGTAGTTTTGTTGGTGCCAATTTCCTTCCTCTCCTCTAACCCAGTCCTGCTCCCTGCCCTAAAGTGCAGATACAGAGATTGGTGGGAGCATTGTTCCTTTATGAGAAGAACAGTTAGCAGATTCTGCTTTGGGCCTACTAAAGTTTTACTTTTTGGTGAGGACCAAAGTAAAGAACCCATTCTGCTCAGGGGGTTTGTTCAGAGTGGCATAATCAAATGAAATGGTCCTCCCAAGTTGCAGGATGCTTGTGGACAGAAGTCAGATGGCATGTAAATTTAATAAGTTATTATTGCATCTCCTTTTCCAAAACCTGTGGAAGAAAAAGAAAAGGGATACGTCAGATTTTAAAAGTTCATTCAGGCTCTTTTGCTCTCACTCAATTTTTTTTTCTACTCTGAGGGCTGTCAAAAAGTAACCTTAATCACTGAGTAACCCATCTAGGTGTTTGTGAGAGAAAGTAGCTTATTTCCAAATCGCGCTGTGTCTCCTATTTGTCTATTGCAAATGCTTCTCTGCCACTTCAGTCACATGACTCTAAGTGGCTTACAGCATTATGCAGAATGCATTACAATAAATCAACATTTATCAGAAGCTGTCATAATACTGCCAATGCAAATTCATGATACTTATAATAATACCAGCACCATTAAAACCACAACCTAGCCTAAACACATTTCTTCTTTATTTGAAACATTTCGTCAGGCTGGAAAAACTTCTAGTCACTATTCCTGAAGTTTTCCTAGGTTGACTGACAGCCCCAGATTGGGTTGCTGAACATAGTTTCCTGGGGCCATGGCTTAGCAACCTAAAAAATGATGACAATGTAATAGATGCTGGGTTACAGGAACAACTGTTAGAGAACAGTTGAAGGGACTTCAGCAGCTGAATGCTACTGATTGCTAAGATTTGCATCTTAGTTGGAAACTGCTGCTCTTATTTGGGTCTCTCCCTCTAGGAGAGGCCAGGGGGGTCAAGCTGCCAGCCTGTGGGCCCGTTCCATCATGCGAAGGCCATGCTCACCCCAGCTCTAGCAATGCAAAAAAAGTTGCAATACATCAGAATAGGTCACATGATGTGGCGAGTTTGACACCCATGCTGTAGGCAGACTGCAGTGAACATGCAGAGTTGGATTCAGAAGATCAGCTGAAATAACATTTATTGCTCTGCAGATGTCTGTAACAATGCTCAGGTTTACCCAGCACTGAGACATCTATGGAAGTTTTACATACTTTTTTCCCTTTAGGAAATACTAGGCTCAGGAGCAGACACTGCATCAAGTTACTATAGTTTGTGTCTTTCTGCACTGCATTGATCCAGTTAATTAGGTTTTATTCAATGAACCATGATCAAGTAAAGTGATTAACAGCAATTTGTTTATCAGGCCTGGGTGCAGTCATTTTTGTCTTGTCTTATAAATGTTTGATTATCAGTTTCTGAAGAGCTCTTGAGTTTGTTTGTTTTTTAAAAGGCTCCTGGTGGATATTCACCAGCTGCAGCTTCTTGTCATTATACTGTAATGATAAAGCTGCATTAGTTAGGTTCTTACTTTTAACATAAATCTTTTTAGAGCAAGCATGGAATGGGTATAATGTACTGATTCAATTCTGTTACTGATGTAAATACTTAAGACTTTGTTAATTCTTTGAAATGTGGTTGTCTCTAATCATTAATATGCTACAGTAATCATCTCTCTAGTATAAAAAGACTTTTCATCCATGTGTGATTTTAGTTCCCATTGAGGAGAGAAACATATCTAGTTTTCTCCTTGATTATAAGCTTGTTTAACCCAGAATGAAATCTTCCCAAACTCAGAGGAAGAAAATTGTCAGTAAACCTAAACCTGTAATCTTTAATCTTTAACCTCTTTATAATCTTTTTATTGAAGATCATATTTTCAGAATCCATGATTTTAGTGCTAAGTTATAACACGTTTTTTATTTGGTGATGTTTAATATGTTAGCTTGGAAATTGTGGTTTATAAATCACGATTTGTGGCTTAACATGCAGAGACATATTTATCCCAAAAGCCATGATTTATAAAATCATGATTTAATTTACTGTATGAAGGCAGTTAATAAAAAAGCTAATATTTCTCTTTTAGACCATTCCACCTCCTTGATGGTGTTTGTATCACAAACCTAACTACTCACCATGTTGTGCAAACCCAGTCCATGTAGTGGCTTTAAGGTTCAATAGGATAGATTATCAAGTTAATTCCCTTACCAATCAAATCATTATACAGAAATAGACAATGTAAATACCAGTCCTGTTTAAATTAAGCCAATGTATATTCCTGGAATTTTTAGAAAACGTTGTTTGATCTGTTCATAAGATTTATTTTTCTGCTTTCCCATCAGTTGGAAGGTTTGGTTGATCTCGCCATACCTCAATCAGATGCCTCTAAGTAACTTAATGTACAACTCTGACATGAGAAATTTAGTTCCACCATTGTATATTGTTCTTTGTTAAATTGATAGGATTATTTGATCAGGTAGAAAGTTCTGATTTCTTTATTTATTGAATTATCTTTTGTTTATTTTCTTATCTCATGTTTTTTTTCCTTCGGATCCATGACACTGGTTGACCATTTTGAATCAGTCAGCAGAGCAGTTATTTATTTCAGTTGATTGAATAAACTGTGGCTGTTCCTGAGGTTCATATAAAATATTAAGCCATGTGATTTGCAAACTACAATGGATGGGTTTTGGTACAAGGATGACTAACAAATCCAAAAGCTGGGCTTGTTTTTCAAATGAATGTTGCCTGAGCCATGAAAGCTTTTAGCTTGATGGCCACAAGCGCATATCAGGTGATTTGCAATGAAGTGGAGTTACAAGAGGTTTTCATTAAGCTTCTTTTATGAATTGTACCAGGAAATGTTAGAAGAGAATATTTGTAGCTCAGGGTTGAACTGTGGGGTCCTTGGTACATTGATGGTGTTACCTAGTTTGGTAAAGAAATGTCTGCAAAAAACAAACAAACTCAGAAAGCACCAAGGAAACCACAATGTAATCCTCCTTTTGCAACTCTACCTTGTTTGTTCAGCATTTTTTCTGTCCTCATAGAAGAACAACAAAAATAAAAGAGACAAAATAGCTCAATAATATCTTATAGATTACCTCAGCAGCTAAATATACAGAAGTACCCAGAACCTTCCTTTGGCTTATTGCGATTGATTGTAGCAATACCCAGTGTCCATCTTGAGTCTTTCTAGATTAATGATCCACTGACATGTGATGCCTGATGGCATTGGTTATTGGTAGTTCCAAAATACTTCCAGTCTAACAGATGTAGATGCCTCTAAAGTATGAATTGCCTTCAAGTCAAGCAACATTCAGAGAAGGTTCACTGTTTCAATTACTGCTACTGTAATTCATGTTAAACTGCTCCATCCAGTTTTACCAACTGTAAAGTGGAACTTAAGTATGTGACTTTTTCCATTGCAGAGAAATAGTATGAATAAATATAATAGCCGAAAGGCCCTAACAATGTAGAATAGACTAAAACAATCTACCCCTTTCTATCTCTAATAAATTGCTTATGTTCTGGAACTATTAATAGAAGACGTAAGTTGTCTTATACCCAAGTAACACAGTAAAGAATAAAACTGAACTTTAAAGTCGTTTGTAATAGTGATGAAGGAGAAATCAGGCAATGTTCACTATGATTAATTTTACTAATATTGATGTGTTACATTAAGCTGCAGTGTGATTTCTTTGATGTTGAGTTAGTGAGATGGTGAGCTCAGCTATTGTAATTTTTAAATAGATTTCTTGTTAGCATTCTGTGTGGATCTGATCGTTGTAATAGTATGACCTGGTGCAATGGCAGGCTGGGAAATCCTGGGAGTTGAAGACCACACATCTTAAAGTTGTTATAGCAGTCTTTTGTTTCCTGTTAGCTCTAATTGGCTTTCAGGAGTGGAATTGCTGGCTGTGGAATTCTGGGAGTTGAAGTCCACATGCCTTAAAATTGTCAAGGTTGAGAAACACTGCTTTAAAGAATTTGCTGGAATTCTTTTGAGAATATTTTTTTTTAAAAGATGGAAAATCTGTTTGTCAGCGGCGCCCCCTGGGGGGAAAAATGGCGGATCGCGTTGTTTCGTGACCCCCGTAAAATGATCGATCGACCCCAAATGGGGTTGCGACCCATAGGTTGAGAACCGCTGGGTTAGAATGTCTTGGTTTGGGTCATATAAAATGATTCAATGCAGTTTTACATTTCAACATTTTGCTGTAGCTCGCTGGGGAACGGAGATATGTAACTATGATTACTCTGTACTCAGTGTGTCCATCCCCTTCTCTCCCCCAAGATGGAAGTGTTGGTGCTGACAACAACCATTTCAGTTATGCCTGTGTGATAATAGCAATAGTTAGGGGAAACTCAACCCTGAGCAACAATAACAATGCCCGAAGATGAGTGCTAAAATTCTTAATCTCCTTGCAATTTTGTTCAAGTGTTGTGTTAATTTAATATCTGTGATGCACCTGTGGTTCGTAAGATTAAAGAAGGAACTGCAGTGCAAATTCTGGGAATGTGAACTCTACAACTCTTTGGTTCTTTTTAAAATATGAGGGAGATTAAACAATGATCCTAGGGAACCTGAATTCCAAAATGATCTTAATTACGTTAAGCCTGTCCATTGGTTATGCTGAGTGCTGTGAACATTTTTATAGTATACTTGCTCAATATATTGTGTGGGTTTTGACATGGTTTTATATGTTTTGTTTCTCTGTTTTTGTATTGTGCTTCTTCTTTTCAAGTGTTTAATGAATGTGAGCCACCCTAGTGTCACTTACGTAAGATGGGCAACTATGCAAATTGATGAACGAAAGGGATGTAATTTGGATGTAATTATTCTCAGTGCAAGTTTCTATACAGCAGTGGCTGTTTTAAACACTGTTATTCTCTACTTAGGAGCTGAAGCTACCGTGTTATAAAGGCCAGTCTCCCCAGTTAAATCTGAGAAGGTATTTTGCAGACTTGATTGCCATTGTGAGCAACCGATTCCGACTCTGTCCTGCTGCCCGGCATCTTGCTGTTTACCTGTTGGACCTCTTTATGGACCGTTATGACATCTCCATTCAACAGCTGCACATGGTTGCTCTTTCCTGCTTGCTTTTAGCAAGTAAGTTCAAAGCAAGAGTTCAACAGATAGAAATTGCTTACCCAGACTAGAAATCAAATAGTTGAATTCCAAAAACGGTTGGGAATTCAATATTAAACCAGCCATCCTGAAACCCATCATGGATTGCAGAAACCCAACTTTTTTATTTGCTAAGCTGCAGTGGTTTCCTGAAAAAGAAATGGATTCTATAATTTTAGGGGCAAAATTTGCACAGCCTGTGTTACAACAAACTTTAATTTGTTCTTTTGAAAACAAAATGTGATGCTGCCCGAACTCGGAATTTCTTTCACACATGAATGGTATTTTCTATTCTTCTGATCCGTTACAACAACCTTATTTTGTAATGGCTATTATATCCCCGATTTGATCAATTTAAAGGGTTCGTTTCTCAAATTCACCAAAAGGTACAGGATATTGAAGGATTGGAGAGAATGTTAAAAAAAAAAAAAAGCTAAGCTAAGGTTGCAAAACATGCATCTCATGAGTTACATTCCACCATCTCTTTTGTGCCCTCAAAATCATTGGCGTTAAAAATAAAGGGCACTGTGTATTTTTGTGTCCCAGAGGTTTAAGGACTAATAAAATTCAGGTGCCCATTTTAGCTCTTAAAACTCCTGGCCGTCCCCCTCTCAAAAAAATGGGCCCAGCCATCGGCCACTTTTGGAATGTGGTCCTAGATACCACAGAAAAGTGGATCGACCTGGAAAGTGATGGAAATTGCATCTGCTTTAACAGGTTTGTACTTGGCTTTGTTTTGACTTAACTCAGTTTATTGTGCTTTACAGATCATGCCCTGCAGCTTAGCTTTATGTATGAACTCAGCCAGTTGTGGGTAGTCAACAAACCAAGATTAATTAAGCCGTGTCTTGGCTTGATAGGTGGATCCGGTTAATTAGCACCGTTCCAGTGTTGTTCTTAACATTCTGCATCTGTTTTTGAATCACCATCTGTAGGCCAAACTGCCTGTGTCAAACACTGGGCTGATTGATTTCACAATAAGTCCAGTGGCCCTTGTGAACAGTTGAAGTTCTCAGAAAGTCACACTTGTCCCAAATAACAGAATACATCTGAAAAATCTGTTGTTTTAGGCTTGAAAATATGGAGATCAAAAAATTTTTTTGCAATGTATCATTTAGCCTAAGTAAAAAAGGGGGGGGATTGCTTCCCACGTAATGAGCAGCTCTGACAAACAGAATCCAGTCATTTAAAGTTTCCTGCTGCCAAACCTTGAATGGAGAAAATGATTTGAAATGTGGCTGCCAGTCTGGCATCATAGATCTGTCATTAGAGATGATAAGAAAGTAATAGAGAGAAATGAACCCAGCTGTGCAATAGTGTACTTTTTACCAAAAGCAATGACTTTTAAAGCTATGCTGGCTGAGGAATTCTGGGAGCTGAAGTCCACAAGTCTAAAAGTTGTCAAGATTGCAGACCCCTGCTTTAAACAACTAATTCCAGGTAGTTGTTGACTTCCTACCACACAACTGGGACCAGAATTTCCATTGCTAAAGAAAGGGTTGTCGAGTCAGTCATGCCCAATTTTATGACCGTTTTTTTGTTAAGCAGATCTGCCTTTTCCCATTAACCTGGCTTGTTTAAAGCTGGCTGGGAAAGGTCGTAAATGGCAATCACGTGACCCTGAGACACAGCAATGGTTGTAAATACACGCCAGGGGTCCAAATTTCAATCCTCTGACTGTAGGGATGCCACAGTGGTTGTTTAGTACGAGGAGCAGCTATAAATCATTTTTTTCAGGACCATTGTAATTTTGCAGCGGTCGCTAAACAAATGGTTGTGAGTTGAAGGCTATCTATATTTGTCTTGTTAGAAAGACAAATCGCAGCATGCAGAAATTATTATTTTTTTTTAATAGTTTAATTGCGTTCTAATGATGTTTTACCCCTTTCATGTCCGTCAGGTAAATTTGAAGAAAAGGAAGACAGTGTGCCTAAGCTTGAACAGCTGAACAGCTTGGGGTGCATGAGTAACATGAGCCTGGTCCTAACTAAGCAGAATTTGCTGCACATGGAGCTGCTCTTGTTAGAAACTTTCCAGTGGAACCTCTGCCTGCCCACAGCTGCTCACTTCATAGATTACTATCTCTCGATCGCCGTTCACGAATCGGACCTCCATGACGGGTGGCCGATGGTTTGCTTGGAAAAGACCAAACTGTACATGGCTAAATATGCCGACTACTTTCTGGAAGTATCCCTGCAAGGTGCTTTTTTTTTTTAATGATTTTGTTCAAACTCTTCCCCATGGTTACTTAGCTGCAGGGTTTGTGTGTGGCCGTGTGTGACGTAACCCTAATACTCTGTCTCTCTCCAGATCATGCATTTTTAAATTATGCCCCTTCGTTAGTGGCTGCTGCATGTGTGGCTTCCTCCAGGATTATCTTGCGTCTTTCTCCAACATGGCCAGTCCGACTACATCGTCTGACAGCATATTCCTGGGATTTTCTATTGCCTTGTATTGAACGACTATTGGTGTAAGTGTTTGGAATGGTTTTTCTCACTTAATAGGGCAGTACAAGTAGTCCTTGGTTTACAACCATTTGTTTAGTTACCATTCAAAGTTAAAAAGGGACTTGTGCCCATTTTTTAATACTTAAAACCGTTGCAGCATCCCCGTGGTCACATGATCTAAATTAGGATGGTTGGCACAACTGGCATGTAGTTATGACGGTTGCAGTGTCCTGGGGTCACGTGATCCCCTTTTGTGACCTCCTGAGAAGCAAAGCCAATGGGGAAGCCAGATTCACTTAACACCTGTGTTACTAATTTAACAACTGCAGCAATTCACATAACTGTGGCAAGGAAGACATGAAATGGGACATAAATATCTTGCTTGGCCATGGAAATTTTGGGCTTAATTGTAGTTGTAGTTGTAAGTTGAGGACTACCTGTAGTTGCTTCCAATGAAGTGCAATCTGAGGGCTGCGAGTAAGGTTTTAGGTGCAAGAATTGCTATTGAGTTTCCAAGTTGGAAAGCTGAGGATGATGACAAGCTCCCAACACTGTTGCATTTCAGTCTTGAATGCATTCTTAACGCCTACATCTGCCAGTTACGACACATTTCTCTAATTTCCCCTCTCTTTTGTTCAGGGATTTCTGCAGGTATGCAAAAGGAGATCAAGAGAGCAGGCCCAACTGGACAATGATCCGTAAAAAATTGGCAGAGCTACAATCAGAGTGTTGGGTCTGCCATTTTAGCTTTAAAAAAAAAAAACATACCCTGCAGACACTACTGCTTTAATCCCAAACAAAATCAAATTCTTGCATAAAATAAGTACCCATAAGAAAGTTATTATTTCTTTTAACATATCACAATTATCTCTTACACATAGGGACGAAAATAAAAGGTGCTGTTGAAAACAAAGGAGTGGGCAGGAGGTTCAGATGCCTGCCTGAGCTGATAACTGGCAAGAATTGAAGCCTTTGAAGATCAGTTCTTACTTAGGAATAACTGTTTACCTAATAGGTTTAACAGATTTGTAGGATCTAAACAATCCTTCCTTCTTTTGCCTTTGGGGTTGTATTATTTCTTTTCCTGGTTTCAGTGTTTTCCAACCATAACCATTTTAAGATGTCTGAATTTCAACTCCCATAATACCCCAACCAGCAAATAGTGGTGTATATGTTTTTTTCTAAGAGTGGAGTGGAGAGGAGTGGAGTGTATGTTTTTTCTAAGAATGGAGTGGAGAGTGGAGAGGAGTAGAGTAGAGTAGAGTAAACTTTGGAGGTCTTCTAGTCCAATGCCCTGCTCAAGCAGGAGACTCTATACCATTTCAGACAAATGGTTGTTCAGCCTCTTCTTAAAAGCCTCCAGTGATGGAACACCCACAACTTCTGAATGCAAGCCGTTCCACTGTTTAATTGTTCTCACTGTTAGTAAGTTTCTCCTTAATTCTAGATTGCTTCTCTCCTCAATCAGTTTTCATTCATTGTTTTTGTCTTGTCTTACGGTGCTTTGGTGAATAACGTGACTCCCTCTTCTTTGTGGCAGTCACTCAAATACTGGAATACTGCTATCTTGTCCCCCCTAGTCCTTCTTTTCTGTAGACTAGCCATACCCAAGTTCTGCAACCGTTCTTCATATGTTTTAGTCTCCAGGCCTTTAATCGTCTTCGTTGTTTTACCCTGCACTTTTTCCAAAGTCTCAACAACTTTTTTGTAACGTGGTGACCAAAACTGGATGCAGTATTCCAGGTGTGGTCTTACTAAGGTTTTATAAAGGTTTTATCTCTTGAAATAAATAAGTAGGAAATAAGGTTTTATTTCTTGTAGCAGAAATGCTTACATTGAATCAAGAAGAACTATTGGCCCATTCCCATCAAGCATGTATGAAAAAAATAATCCTCTCCTTGTACATGGGCTTAGATGAACTGTAGATTTCAGTCAATGTAGTCAAACAGAAAATAATCCTTTTAATTTTAATATTCTAGGGCCCATGATAATGACGTAAAAGAAGCCAACAAGCAAAAAGGACAACATAGCTCTCAACCAGCCCATAACACTTTATTTCAAACAACCAGTCAACCCACACAGCAGCACATATCCCATTATATTCAAGCTCATCAGACTCCTCTACCGTATCTTCAAACAGCACCGCAACAAAACTGTGAGCCGATTATGTCAAGCAGCAGTCATACCTCAACCTACCCGATGCAGACTTGCCCAGCTGGTTTACAAGGTGGTGTTCAGGCTCAAAGTCATATACAGACTTCTGGAATGTCACTAGCAGTCCCTATAGAGGTGAAGCCATGTTTAAATGTCTCTTATAATCGAACCTATCAGATTGCTGGACGTTACCCTTGTATTACTCCATGCTTTGAGAGGTGACGACTACAGCAGAACTCTCTGTGTGACCAGTGTTAAATAAATAATAGAGGGCAATTTTGGGTCCTTCTGAAACCTGGGAAATGGCTGAAAGAGAACACCCATTTTTTCCTCTCAAAGGTAGCTCAGTTGCAGAAACTGCAAGTACAAGAACTTGCAGAATAATGGAGAAAGATGGAAAAAAATATTTCTGCGACACTGTAGTTCTACATGCTGAACTTAAAACATATCCTTAAAAGCGTGTTGAGAGATACCTGTCCTGACTGCAGGTTTTGTCTTCCTGAAAAGACGAAAGGTTACACGTGACGTTGGCGACACTGCTGCTTCTACTTAGCTCCAGGCAGTATTGAATAAGATACTGAACCATGAAAGTCCACTAAGTGCCATTGCTTTCCAGAAGATGGAAAGGCAAGTGGGAGAAGAGGCCCTTTTTACCTAATGAGCACCTCAGTTCTTTGACATGCCCATGGATGAGAACTTGTATTTTAGTGGCCTTGGATTAATGTTCTCCAATCTTCCACTTCAAATATTCTCCATTGAAGCTTTGTAGAGATAAATTATCATACCAACTCAGGGAATAATCAAAAGTTACTGTGATACAGGACAGATATCATTTAAATGGTTACCTCGGGTTCAGTTCCTCAGGGTAATTGTAGTAGTAAATGCCAAAGGGAGTTGAGATGCTCATCCAAGTACTCCCTTCACCTAAATGTGCTTTGCAATGAGACAGAAAAAAATAGGCATGTTGTATTTAAATGAAGCCAGTACTATACCATAAACAATGGAGTATTGTTTGCAATTTGCTCTACTTTATCCAACCAACTATTTGTGTCCAAAAAGTTTTGTTTTTCTTTTTTCATTGTATTGATTTCTGGCTTCAAGGTACAATTGAAATGCTTACAAGAAATAAAGCCTTATTTATGATGGCCAGAGAGCAGAATGAGAAATGGAAGACTCTTAAGCACAACTGTATTTCTAAATTTCTATTTCTTTGGCCACATCAGCTGCAATTCAGATATTTTTATAATGTGAGCTAAGCAGTCACGATAAGGGTACTATATATGACCATCAGAGGTCTTTTAAGTTCTTAGATTCTATCCTTATCCAAACCAGAATTATTTGAGTAAATAGGCAGTAAAGAAGTTTGAGAATCTTCTTGTTAGCATTCAAGATTAAGGAATGAAGAATTTGCTACTTTTGTATCCAGTGGCATGTGATCCAAATTTTTAGAGATGACTGAGAATGGAGGTGATAAATGGATGGAGTACCTGAAGATAGACATTAATAATACACGCCTTCCCTAGTGAAAAACAGATCATCCTAAATACTTCTCATTTAAAGGAAAATGGCCTTAAAATGGCTCTCTATGAGCTGACCATGCTATGAGAAAATATTCTTTAATTTGGAGGAGAAGCTATCCTCCGTAGTGGTAATTATTTTATGCCATTATGTGTTTTGTGTGTGTGTGTCCTTATAAAAATGGGGAATTTTGAGGGAAAGAAGTACAGTAAAGCTTTCTGAAAACATATACTGGGGAATACGACTTCTTCCCTAAGCATATTTTATTACTGTGTTTGCATGTCTGAGCAGGGAAAAATTGATTACAGGTAGGTAACAGAATTGAATGTCTGAGGTTATCTTCTTACATCATGTCATTTCTCATGATTTCATTTTATGTGGGGATGAAGGATTGCAAAATACATTAGAAAAGGAATGATACTAATTTCAAATTGCAGTACTGCTCATACAACTCTTTTTTAACTACCTCAGTAATTTGTTGAATGTACAATTTTGTGGAGGTCCATGACTTGAAATAACAGTACATTGTTCCTAAAATTCTTGTGTCCTTCAGTGTCAGTCCTCCATAAATGAAACTGCAGATTAGACATCTAATACATCTGAAAATTATCTTTCAGCATTTACACTCAAAACATTAGTTAATAATTGACACTGGAATTGCGGTGGGAGAGGTAATTTATCTAGTCAAACCAGCAAAACTCACCTAAAACAAATGATCTTATTTAAGGTATTTAAATAATTAGACTTCTTTCTAAAAATGGATCCTCTACAGGTTTCTAGATTTGTGGCTCATTACTTTTTTAATTTATTATTTAGCCTTTTGAGTTTGTTGTTATAGATTAATATTGGCAATAGAATATGCACTGTGCAACATTTCCTATTTTCTTATACGTATTTGGTCAACTTCTATTGAATCGACACACTGCTGAAATTCCTACTGGAGGAATTAAAATGTGTGTCATCAAGAAAGAACTACTCATTTTTTTAAAAATGAGTGCCATGCACTCTTTTAAAAATAAAACTAGTTTTGCGTAACTTGTGTGTGTGCTTTGAATAAAGTTGCATTCATAATGATAGTGATATTGCAATGCATTCCAGGTTTGTTTTCGACTATATAATACAACAGACATGAAAAAAACAGGAAAAGTATTTATTAAAAGTATGAAGTCTTGTACTTCATCACTAACCTTGTCTAGAAAAGACAACAGAGAGAAAGAATGGAAAATTATTACAACTTGAATAATAATGAATCCGTATATACATTCTGCTAGAATATGGAAAAAAATGTTTATTTTAATATATCGGGCAATACTATTTGCACACTTACATGCAAGAAGTCAGAGAAAACCTTTTATTTTTTTTTGAGCAAAGTCCATATCTGGTTGTGCACAGATAACATTACAGAACAGAAAACAGTATGATGCCTCATCTTGAAAAAACAGTTCCTTAGTTGGTGCATTCTACCTTAGAATTTAATTTAATTCTAAGTTAAATCTGCTATAGATAAATGCAAGCACAGAATAGTACATATCTGAAAAGGAATCATTCAAGTATGAAAATTATGTGCTTCATCTTTGCTCCAGCAATTTTCAAGGCACCACTTTAAAAGGATTTGCATAGCTCTGAGAAGTTTGTTTAGTAATGTTGGCATTTGATCATTTGGGGTTAAAAACCTAGGTGCAAGGAAGATATTTTAACCACCAACTATTATTGGCCATCCAATCAAAGGAGTATGCTGCTAACATTTTACAGTTAATGCACCCTACTTGGTGGCCTCCATTTAGGAGTACTGGTTTAAAAACTACATAAATGGTATTTTTAAAATATCTAAATTTGGCAGCGGATTGACTAGAAGACATCCAAGGCACCTTCTAACCCTATATTAAATGTTCCACTTACGTGAACTGAACTGAACTTGCTTCTACATGCTGCTAGATGGCCACATCTGAGTTTGTTACACTTTTTGTCTTTCTGTTTATGAATTGCGTGAATCCCAGCAACCAGGGCTTTTTTTTTATCATAGAACACCTAGAACGGAGTTCCAGCACCTTTTTTGGATGAAACCTTGTAGGGTAGGCAAGGCGGGTTGTATGACGTGTATGAGTTCTGGCACCTTTTTTTTTTTTTTTTTTTACAAAAAAAGCACTGCCAGCAACCATATATGTATGAAAACTCAATACTAAAACTACCTCCAGTCACAAAGGTCCTATTCTCAAGGTATTTGTGTAATGGTTTCAGAAATTTATTTGCTATGATTTATATGACATTCCCTCCTAATTGCCAACCACTAATAATACCAATCTTAAAAGATAGTACAACCCATTACACGGTGGTCTATCTGCCATTTTTTAAAATAGCTGGCTCCTCGAATTGCATAGCTGCTTTAAGGAGATGCAGGCAGGTACTATATTTGAACTTCCATGAACTTCAAAGCAATCTTTTTGGAACTGAATTTGAAATCATAACGTGTAACATCATTGGGTAGTATAAGTAGCTGGTACAGTTTACAATTTCAGAGGAAAAGTACCAAAATATTTGGCTATTAGTTGCATAGAAACCATTACCATTTGTTAGTAATTGCAGAGAAAAGAACATATACCAGACAACCATATCTATAACATCAGTAATTCATACAATAGTTAATATATAAAACACAAAATAAATGTATGACTTATTTATAAAACTTATTGTAATTCTGACTCAGATTATATTTCAGGGGAAGAAGTGTAAAGCAGAGGTGTCAAACTCGCAACTTCACGTGATGTGTTGTGATGTATCGAGACTTTTTCCGTTGCTGGCAATGGGGTGGGCACAGTTTTGCCATGATGCATTTGGCCCCAGCCCGCAGGCCAGCAGTTTGACACCCTGGTGTAAAGCAAAACATTACTAAATAATCCGCAGCTCTCCTTTTGTCAATGCTTTGTTGCTACTGTGAATTTTGTCTAACTTCAATTCCATTAAAAGGTCTTCCTCTCAGTGCTTTCCAACAAGCTGTATTCCCTAATTGTGTGACTGGCCCAACACAATTCTGTGCAAGTAGTATAAATGTAATGTGCTTCAAGATCATGGTCATAATTTTAGTCTCTCTGCAGCTCACAATTATGCGTGTTAAAAGTGCCAAGATGCCCTTTACAAAAAAAAAACAAAACACTTTTCTGCAGTGGCCAGGCATAATTTTCTGGATTGTCAGATAGACAAATTCTTGATTATTTAACAAAAATCAGTCCTGACACATTAACACTAAGAAATAAATCATGCTTTGAATGGGCGGTTCAAGCAGTGTCATGAAGCATTCTTGAAATTCTTAAGAAACTATAATCAAAATACTGTTGGTTGATGAAAAAATTATAGTGACTTCTCAATTTTATATCATTTATAAACTTTTTTGGGAAGGATTCAGAAATGTAGTTTATTGAATCATCTTGAAAGTGATTGTTAGATGCATTTTTTCTACTGAACAATGATCAGTTGACTAATTTTTATATTTCAAAATACCTTGACATTAAATATAACACTGCAGTATTATAAAAACATAAATGCAGACATCCACAGAGAAATGTCTTTGTTCATTCAATTTTTAAACCACTTATCTCAAGCAAGTGACTCTTGTATCAGCAATTTTCAACATTTATGGTAATAATGATCTAGTTTGGATATATTGTGTGTAAATTCTGAGCTTTTTCTTCCTTAGTGCTACTCAGAGGAGTGTTCAAAAACTTTGTTTCCATTTTTAGTTGAAAGGATTTGATGTTGTATCTTGGGCCTCAACTGTAATAATAGTATAATTTAGGAAAATGAACCAAATTGCATTATAAATCTACGCTAAGATTACCCACAGTTTGCCCATGATGTGAATGTATCCAGTTGCTTTACTTTAAATTTAAACAGACTCATTTCAATATGAGATGAGCAGCAAATAAATAGATTAAAAATAAGGAAAAGGAACGCTCATGAACTTAGTGATCGTTTATAATTTTTTGTTATTTATTAAATATGAAACCTGCTTAGCATTGCATTTAAATAAGATTATGGGTGCTGAAATTACTGTTCGATTACGTACAATACAATGCTAGGAGAAATATTTAATGAAATACAGCCAGATACCAACTCCTTCCATTTGCATTCTGATCTCCACTAATATAAGACCACCCTGACATACACTATCTGTTGTCTGTATTATGCACGCTTTATGGATCACTACATGTGAGATTCCTTTTGTAAGCTGTATCTATCTTAATATTATAAAGCTTAAGCTGAAAAACCTGTTATCGAGCATTTTACAAAGCTATACTGTGTTCCCAAAGCCAATATAGTATGCCTCTGTAATCAAACTTTATGACTTACTGTGTCAATCAAACCTAAAATCACATTCCTGAAACTGGGACATGTAAAGAAATTTTGTCATTGATTAAAAATTGTTGGCTTTCAGAAATCTAAAATTGCCATTTAGTGCCCAGATGCCATGGTAAGCCTCAAATGGTGATTAAAGAGCCACAAACAAAAGCAAAAGTCAAATGTTGGGACATTCATGATGTACCCTTTAGCCATTTCATTTTATTCTTATAAAAATAAAGTTTAGGTTACATCATATCCAAGATCCTGATGATTCAAAGCCTGGTGACCATTCATAAGGCATTGAAAAATTGGCTTTTACTCCAAGCAATGGCCCCTGTGGGTAGCTGAGCCCATATATATAAGAGATTATGTATGTGAATATGTGTGATGCCACAAATGTGTTTTTATAATTTTATAGTTTGTGTGTTATTGTTTTTAACTTGTTCTTTGTTGCCCAGAATTGTATAACAAGCAGGCAACCAGTTTAAATAAATGAATGAAAGTTTGTGAAGACACTTGTACTCTCCTATAATAAAATGGGTTCTGAGTTTGTTTGGATCCAGAAATTGAGCAGAGTTGGGTCTGATCAATAGTTGGGTGACAAGCCATGTGAAAATTCAAGGCTGTAGAATGGGAAGTAAAAAATTATCCTGGAATACAGTAATGGGAAATTTCTTGTGAACTATTCCCCAAATAGTTCATCTATATTCTAGGATAATTTTCTGGGTCCGAACAGACTCATAACCCATTTAATTATAGGAGAGTACAAATGTCTTCACAAACTTTCATTCATTTATTTAAACTGGCTGACCACTTGTTATACAATTCTCAGCAACAAAGAACAAGTTAAAAACAATAATATACAAACTATAAAACTGAAAAACACCACATCTGTGGCATCACAGATATACACATAAATAATCTTCTATATATTGTCTGAAATGGTATAGGCTGTAGGGCAGGGTTCTCAACCTGTGGGTCCCCACTGCGGCTCCATCGATGGGCGGAGGGCGAGGCCGGGCAGCGCGGAGTCCCGGCAGGGGCGGTGGTCGGGCCAGGGGCGGTGGGGACTCCCGACGATGCTGCTGTAAGAGAGAGAGAAAGAGAGAGAAACAGAGGAAAAGAGAAAGAGGGAGGAAACAGAGAAAGAGAGAGAGGAAAGAGAAAGAAAGGAACGAGAAGAGGAGAGGAAAGAGAAAAAGAGGAAAGAGAAGAGAGAGGAAAGAGAGAAAGAAGAGAGAGGAAAGAGAAAGGAAAGGGAGAGAGAGGAAAGAGAAACAGTAAAAGAGAGAGGAAAGAGAGAAAGAGAAAGGGAGGAAAGAGAAAGAGGAAAGAGAGAGAAAGATGGAGAGGAATGGCACTTCTCCAACCAGGCTGGGTACAGCGGCCTTCCTGCCCCCCTCCCCGGCCAGCTGGATGGGGGGTTGGGGGTCACCACAACATGAGGAACTGTATTAAAGGGTCACGGCATTAGGAAGGTTGAGAACCACTGCTCTAGGGTTTTCTGCCTGAGCAGGGGGCTGGACTAGAAGATCTCCAATGTCCCTTCCAACTCTGTTATTCTATTCTATATGGGCTCATTGCTTGGAGTAAGAGCCAATTTTTAATGCCTTATGAATGGTCACCAGGGTTTGGATCATCGGGATCTACATGTTTCCATGTAGTTGTGAATTTACAAAAAGACACAGAAAACTTTTAGATGTTTAAACTCGAAATAAATTTTATTAGATTTTTCTTTATT